GGACATCGAACATCATTTAAAACACTGCGAAACAGCAACTAGAGGTGGGATTAGCCCTGTAATCAAAACACTGTGGTTTCTCCAGAAACTGGGAAGAGGGGCAAGGCACCCACACCACTACAGAGGGCAGAAGTGGTCTGGGTGTCAGTGTCCCTTTAATCTATGTTATATGTTTTTTATTTCACAATTCCTCTTTTTTAAACCAGCAATCTAATTGTGGGCTTATGAGAGCCTTTCGACTTGCTCCATACCTTTATGTAGATGTATAATTTTCTGAGATATTGTAGCCAATAGAGCCAGCTTCTGCTTTTCATTGTATTATTTATACTTAACATGGATAGTGTTTCTGGTTTCTTTCTATTTTATTTCTACAAAAACAACATCATGATTTAGCATAGCATGATGGATGTCAATTAGAGACGTCATACATGCAGGAAAATGGGTCTGGTAATTAAGATGGATTGAATAAAGAGACTGAGTAAAATAAGGTAATTTATTGTAGAAAATATTTTTGGTACTGACAGAGGAGCTTTACAAGATAAAATAAGTTATGTCCTAATTATCTTGTAACTTTATGCTAGGCTTAAACCAAACCTTTTAAATGTAGTGTTCATTTTATATTCAAGGCAAATAGTATGTGAGTGACTTATCACTATCACTATAGTATTATATGTTGGAAACCCTTGTCCTATTTGTAGCTACTCATTTTACTTTAACTGGAATGAATGTGTCTGCTAAGAAAATTAATATTGTTTACTGACACTAATAAATGACAAATGTTTTATTTTGTAGCATTTCACACGTTAAAATGTTATCCCTAACTATTCTACATGATAATCAGGAATGGACTGTATTCCTAATGCTATAATGTCTCCGTCCCTATTTATTTAGGTCTCCACACCCCTCATCCCTCCACCCCCCAAACACTTTCTCCACTTACCTCTTTCCAGCAACTCAGCACTGGTTTGGCCTCTTCCTGCGATGTCACAACGATGGGGGAAACTAAGGTGCATGTCCCATGTGCATTAGAGTATAGCTTTTAATAGTATAATTAAAATAAATGGTATACAAGCTATACACGTAAATAAAGTGAATACTTAAAATTACTCCTGCTATTGAACTGGGGAGTGATGCCTGAATGGATCAGGGATGTGGTCGGGTGATCCTCAGAAGAGACTTGCATTAGCTTGTGCTAAAGACCAATGTGTATTGCACTGACCTTTGGATCCCGAGCTTGATTCCGGCTACAATAGAGGGGGTTTAATTCTGACCACTCCCCAGTTCAATAGCAGGAGTCATTTTATTTAGTGCAGATACATTTTTTTCTTGCACTATTCATACACACTCCAGTGCCTCTTTTTGATCAAGAAGCACTGTGAATGTGGTCATTGATTGTGCAGACATATTTTTGTCTGTATTTGCTACAAATATATTCCATGCTTGTATATGTATGCCTGGATAACTGATATCAATCATTGTAGCCAAATGTTTCTCTAGGAATCCTATTGAGACATTTGTATCAGACACTCCATGCCTGTATATTAAATGTAAACCAAGCATGGATTACTGATTTAAATCATTATTATATGCAGCCAATATGTTCTTTTGGGACTCTAATCACCTTATATATTTCTATATCTATGGATTAATCGTCTAGCTACTTTATTGCAAAACCTTTCGGTTTTTGCATACAACACTAGGAGAAGGATCCTGAACACTTTTGAACAGGACCTCCTTATTTAGACCTGAGTCTATGTTTCCCTCACTGACATTCTACCTATACGGTTAATTATTTTATGTTTTGTGTCATTCCAGTGACAACTGTTCATTAGTACCTTTGGTATATCTATATACTAGACAGATCTCTGTACCAAGTATTCACTTTATTTATGTGTATAGCTTGTATACCATTTATTTTAACTATACTATTAAAAGCTATATTTTAACACTTAAGGGCAATCACTTCTTCCTCTTTTTCTCCTCACTACTATTGTAGTCCCCAAAGGTTAACCCCTATATGAGTGCATTCCCTTGCTTCCAGTTCTTTTCTATTTCTTCATGTGCATTAGAGCTTCCACATAAGAAAGCATTGATTTAATGCATTAGTATGGGGAATTTCAAGACGTTAGATGTCCTCATGCAAGCATAAGGACGTCCTACATCATTTCACAGAGTAAAACTTCAATAGAGTCCAGGAAGCACCTGGACTCTATTGGCATCACAGGGGAATAGAGATGTCACGAACCATTTGCGAACTTCACACGAACGGCTCGCCGCGGTTCGCCACGAACCGTTCGCGGCAAGCTCCGGTCAGCTGACACATCCCAGCCAATCTCCAGCAGACACTCCCTCCCAGACCCTCCTACCTCCTGGACAGCATCCATGTTGAAGCTGCCGGTTCGCGACATCTCTACAGGGGAACACATAAATGAGCCAAGCTCAGTTCTAATACTACTACTGTGTGTTTGCTGTTACTATATCATCCAATAGAAACACAGTGTGCCTTCTAGAAATGTTTCCCTTAAGTCAACATTATGTGTTTGTCGAAATTGTATTACTCAAACTCCAGCACTGTATGCAATCTAGAAATCGTTCACCCTGACCCTATCACACTGTCAAAGTTATTCGCTACAGTGAGAACGCAAAATTCATTTAAATTTATAGGGACAACCCCCACCCCCAAAACAAATTAAAACTTACTGTTTAGTAGATATAACCCCAATGAAAATATTAATTAAACTATGCATTTTTTGTTATCTAAAAATAGCCTAAAGCCTTTGCAAGCCCTCACTTTCTAACCCAACCCAGACTTTCTGTGTCTGTCCAATCACAGACTTTGCAATGAAGCTCATTGAGAAGTCTTTGCAAGGCAGGTGCTCTGGGCAATTGTTGCCTCTTGAATAAAGATCCACTGAGCTAAACAACCAGGAAGTAACTGGGCCAGTTGTCTGACAGCCACAGGGTGTAACAAGGTTAATTATTGCTGATATGATTTTAGGATCTGAAGTATTCCTTTAAGGTCATAATAACTGAACTGGACAAATTGTGTTACTTATTTTAAAAAAAAATTCCACTCTGAAACACTGAAAACGCCATTCTACTTTTAAATTTTTTTCCCAAAAATAATTTTCAAAAATCTGAATCCAATTTTTGCTCATGCCAAAAAGTTTTGTTTTATATATATATATATATATATATATATATATATATATATATATATATATATACGCATATATAGTTATCATATAACAATAACATACTATACTGTAGACAATTGTCATGGGAATTACTTATTTACATAAAACAGTCATATTGGAAACATTATTCAACTCGGCTAATTCCCAGCCTGGATATTTCAGCTTATAAATGTGTTAATTCTCCCAATTCCCAGGTTATTGAGTAACCCTGTTAGTATTTGTTTTGGTTTGGTTTTGTTTACCATGAGTACCCTGTTCGAGACCTTTTTTTAAAATCAGATTTACTGGGACCCTTTCATTCTGTAGACTAATCAGTAAATTACTCTGCTTGTCTCTGTTAGACATAAATAAGGCCTCTGTTGCTACTGCCTATCATTTCATTAAATTACACATGTTAAATCACTGGGTGAAAACAAAGTTATTTTTATACCATTCCCGTGCAAATATAATATTCTAATTCTTTTTTGTTTTTTGTTTTTTTAAAAAGAGTAGAATTGAGCTGATATGCTGCAGTCCCTGCCCTGCTCATGATCGCAATGTAATATTAGACAGGATTTTCTTGCTAAAATATCTGGTGAACTTTCATTGCTTTTATTTTAGCTGGCCATAAAAAGAGTCAGCGGTAGCTTTTGGAGTCATAGAGAGCACGACAATAACACAGTGACATTGATACATCTCTTAATTCCTAGTTAAACATCCTGGTGCAATAGCTGAATTGAACAGCATGCTCTGCAATCACCGAGCAGAGAGAAGTGTACAATAAAGCCTTCCTCCTCCACTGTCATAGGAAATAATGTGGGGTGAGCAGGCAATACACAGACTTATTCATCTTCTCAAAGGGTCTCTTTCACCTAAATGAAAACCTGTTTGATTCATTCCAGGGAATGTTCGGGACAGGCTCTAATTATGTAATTGAACAGGTTATTGAGATAATGTGGAAAATAAAATATTCTTATGTCTGAGCAAAGGCAATTCTCTTCTCCCCCTTACTGTCACATCCTTATTACAAAATCAGCTTTTACTGGGAAAGATTACATGCTAAAGAAAATTATAGGGGGTATGAATTTGGATGTGGTTTTAAAAGCTATAGAAAGAAATGTTTCTAAAAAAAAAAAAAAAAGCATTATTGTTAAGAGGGTAGCGATTCTTATTGTTCTGCGTAGTTAACATGCGCTTTGTAACAGTCTCATTGTGAAGACAGTTATGATTTCTGTATGTAGAGGTATGTCACTACTAAAGATAGGCTGTTGCCTAGTAGCCTTGACAGTTTAAGTGGTCAGCAATATAATTACTTATATTACAAGCTACTACTCTGTATGATCATCTATAAGTCACTATTATTGTGTGACATAGTTGTTACATTTTGATGGCCTTTTGTACTCTGCATAATGATCCTTTGTTAGTATTGGAGTGTCAGTGTGTGGCTTTCTGTTGCGTGATACTTTCTTGTCACTATTAGTGTGATACACCGTATGTTTGTTCTTTCGATCACTATTGAATTATCTTTCCATTCCTTATCATGTGTAGGAGAGTTCTGCTCTGTATGAAGAAAGTTCTGGCCAGTTATGTTATGGCCAGTTTGTGCGATAGTTTCAGATCCTTTATGATCATTCCTCCTGTTACTATCAATGTTTGTAATAGTTTCAGATCCTTTATGATCATTCCTCCTGTTACTATCAATGTTTGTAATAGTTTCAGATCCTGTCTGATCATTCTTCCTGTTACTATCCATGTTTGCGATAGTTTCAGGAACTGTATGATCATTCTTCCTGTTACTATCAATGTTTGTAATAGTTTCAGATCCTATATGATCATTGTTCCTTTTGCTATCAATGTGTGTGATAGTTTCAGTTCCTGTATGAGCATTCTTCCTGTTACTGTCGTTGTTTGCGATAGTTTCAGAAACTGTATGATCATTCCTCCTGTTACTATCAATGTTTGTAATCGTTTCAGATCCTGTCTGATCATTCTTCCTGTTACTATCCATGTTTGCGATAGTTTCAGGAACTGTATGATCATTCCTCCTGTTACTATCAATGTTTGTAATAGTTTCAGATCCTATATGATCATTGGTCCTTTTACTATCAATGTGTGTGATAGTTTCAGTTCCTGTATGAGCATTCTTCCTGTTACTGTCGTTGATTGCGATAGTTTCAGAAACTGTATGATCATTACTCCTGTTACTATCGTTGTTTGCGATAGTTTCAGATCCTGTATGATCATTCTTCCTGTTACTATCAATGTTTGCAATAGTTTCAGATCCTGTATGATCATTCTTCCTGTTACTATCAATGTTTGCGATAGTTTCAGATCCTGTATGATCATTCTTCCTTTTACTATAAATGTGTGTAATAGTTTCAGTTCCTGTATGATCATTCTTCCTGTTACTATCGTTGTTTGCAATAGTTTCAGGAACTGTATGATCATTCTTCCTGTTACTAGCAATGTTTGCGATAATTTCAGATCCTGTATGATCATTCTTCTGTTACTATCAATGTTTGCAATAGTTTCAAATCCTGTATGATCATTCTTCCTGCTACTATCAATGTTTGCGATAGTTTCAGATCCTGTATGATCATTCTTCCTTTTACTATAAATGTGTGTAATAGTTTCAGATCCTGTATGATCATTCTTCCTGTTAGTATCCATGTTTGCGATAGTTTCAGTTCCTGTATGATCATTCTTCCTGTTACTATCAATGTTTGCGATAGTTTCAGATCCTGTATGATCATTCTTCCTGTTACTATCAATGTTTGCGATAGTTTCAGATCCTGTATGATCATTCTTCCTGTTACTATCGTTGTTTGCAATAGTTTCAGGAACTGTATGATCATTCCTCCTGTTACTATCAATGTTTGCGATAGTTTCAGATCCTGAATGATCATTCTTCTTATTACTAGCAATGTTTGCAATAGTTTCAGATCCTGTATGATCATTCTTCCTGTTACAATCAGTGTTTGCGATAGTTTCAGATCCTGTATGATCATTCTTCCTGTTACTATCAATGTTTGCAATAGTTTCAGATCCTGTATGATCATTCTTCCTGTTACTATCAATGTTTGCAATAGTTTCAGATCCTGTATGACCATTCTTCCTGTTAGTATCCATGTTTGCGTTAGTTTCAGTTCCTGTATGATCATTCTTCCTGTTACTATCAATGTTTGCGATAGTTTCAGATCCTGTATGATCATTCCTCCTGTTAGTATCCATGTTTGCGATAGTTTCAGTTCCTGTATGATCATTCTTCCTGTTACTATCAATGTTTGCGATAGTTTCAGATCCTGTATGATCATTCTTCCTGTTACTATCGTTGTTTGCAATAGTTTCAGGAACTGTATGATCATTCTTCTTATTACTAGCAATGTTTGCGATAGTTTCAGATCCTGAATGATCATTCTTCTTATTACTAGCAATGTTTGCAATAGTTTCAGATCCTGTATGATCATTCTTCCTGTTACAATCAGTGTTTGCGATAGTTTCAGTTCCTGTATGATCATTCTTCCTGTTACTATCAATGTTTGCAATAGTTTCAGATCCTGTATGATCATTCTTCCTGTTACTATCAATGTTTGCAATAGTTTCAGATCCTGTATGATCATTCTTCCTGTTAGTATCCATGTTTGCGATAGTTTCAGTTCCTGTATGATCATTCTTCCTGTTACTATCAATGTTTGTGATAGTTTCAGATCCTGTATGATCATTCTTCCTGTTACTATCAATGTTTGCGATAGTTTCAGATCCTGTATGATCATTCTTCCTGTTACTATCGTTGTTTGCAATAGTTTCAGGAACTGTATGATCATTCTTCTTATTACTAGCAATGTTTGCGATAGTTTCAGATCCTGTATGATCATTCTTCCTGTTACTATCAGTGTTTGCGATAGTTTCAGTTCCTGTATGATCATTCTTCCTGTTACTATAAATGTGTGTAATAATTTCAGTTCCTGTATGATCATTCCTCTGTTACTATCAATGTTTGCAATAGTTTCAGATCCTGTATGATCATTCTTCCTGTTAGTATCCATGTTTGCGATAGTTTCAGTTCCTGTATGATCATTCTTCCTGTTACTAGCAATGTTTGCAATAGTTTCAGATTCTGTATGATCATTCTTCCTTTTACTATCAATGTTTTGCAATAGATTCAGGAACTGTATGATCATTCTTCCTGTTACTATCAGTGCCAAAGGATAATCCCTTTCATATATACTTTAAGCATTGGGCCTCATGGGAGCAAACCTAAGTAGACCAAACACATTACAGAAACTATGGCAAACATGATTGCACGTTGCTAAAAGGGTATCCTGTTTTATACACACAAAAGAGAGAACTAACTCACCATTCCTCAGTAAAATGTAAACCTTTTAATATTATTAGTTTTAATTTTGATTCCTTATTTCATGACAAATGCCATCAGTTACAACCGTCCTATGCCATAGCCTATCAGCTCACCATCTGACATCCCTCACTTGTCCCACTCTGGTTTCTGTCTTCTGTTTGGGTCACTCACTAGTGGTTCCACAGGCTGCTGCATGCTCCACCTGCCTAAACTTTCCTAACTGACCCCTTGTGCCTCGGTATATAACTGAATGATTTAGAGGGCAGAACTGTGCCAGTATATAAGTCTTGAGCTTAATGCAAGGTAAAAGAAATATGTGCAAAACAAAATATCCATATCATGCTTGTTCTCTAATTGTAATGCGTGTCCATGTCCAGTAGAGAGTCTTGGTATGACCAGGAGGAAATCTTGAAAAAAAAAAAATTTTTTCCATTTGTGCAGCTTGTTTTCAGCTTCAAAAGAAAGATATTATTGGAGAAAAAAGGAATACAAAGAGAATGGTTAATATTTCCACTTATCCTTTCACCATTGGAGATGGTATTTGACCTAAAATGTTAAGCCGTGCTAAAAAAATATGAAAAGACCCCCCTCACGCCGGGCTCTGGGGGGAGGAAGGGGTTAAACTTACCTCTTTCTCCAGCGCCGGGCGGGAAGCTCTTATCCTCCTCTCCGCCTCCTCTCCTCCTCTTCGGTTGAATGCGCCGCGCGTGCATTCAGCCAGTCCATAGGAAAGCATTCTCAATGCTTTCCTATGGACGCTGGCGTCTTCTTACTGTGAATATCAATGAGATTAACCCTAATATGTTTATAGAAAAAAGGGTTAAAGCTAGCTTTACCAGGCACCCAGACCACCTCATTAAGCTGAAGTGGTCTGGGTGCCTATAGTGGTCCTTTAAGATTTCATCCTCGGCGACAGATTTTCATCAGAAACAACATATTTCCTGCACTGTTTGTATTATTAATTTTGAAGTAAGATGAACTGGTTAAGTCAGTACCGATGAATACTGTGTGATGCTAAGGACAAATGTCCCTTACTTGTGTTGCTTCCAGTTGTTGCAACTATGTTTCACAAGTAAAGATGAAAACATGCAGGAACTGTGAATGTTATTCTCCTAAGCAACACTGCACACAACCTCTGCAACCTATATAGCTTTATTGCTGTGCTGGTCCTGTCACTCAAACTGAAGAAACTAGAGTAGAGTGGCTTAGGAGGATGAAAGGCATCAGGGCAGAATTTCAGTTTATCGTTGCTTAGTACTGTGAATGTGCATGGTGTTAAGCTTACAGATCAAAGGAGCAATGGCTGGAACTGCTGGCTTCCAAAAACTATTGGAGTAGATGCTCAAAAACCCCATGATATTCTGTTTTATAATAACTAAGTATCTAAATCAGATGTACTTTTTTTGAATAGCAAGTGGATCAATAAAATCAAAACTTGTGTTATGATTAACTCTAATATCAATACATTGGTGAATCAGTACTAAAGACATTACCTAGAACAGTTTACATTCTAGAGCTTCCATTACAAATCTGTAGTCCCATGAAAGAGATGTTAAGCTAGTCGGAATCTAAATCCCAATTCTACTATGCCATACAATAATTAAAAGAATCAGGCATAGTCAGTGGTGGAGCTAAGGTAGTGAGGGCCCTGGTTTTTGCCACCCCTCTCTAATGCAAAAGTGGCCAAAAGTTAGATCCCCATATGTTGTACAACTCCAAAGATGCTTTTCCAGCTGGGGATCTACCATTTGCCTATCCTTGCAGGGTTGTATTCGTGTGTTAGGGTCTACAGCAGCTCACTCATGCTCTCTTCCCAATGCTGGAAGTACCCCGCTGCTGTCTTCTCCATCCTGTGCGGTGTTCTCTATAGATGCTGGGAAGCTGTCATTTCTTCCAAGCCAACTGATATTATAGGGGCCATATCCCTGTTCAGCAATAACTATTGGGTGGCCATAAGTGCATGGGCCACAAAAAGTATTGACTGCATCACCAGTAGTTCCACCACCGAGCATAGTCACACAAAGGTGACAGAAAAAAATATAGCAAAATTTTACTGTATTCAAGTCTGCATGCTGTTTGTCTCAGAAAAACAAGCAGTCTGCTGACATCATCAGAAGTGGTAGCCTGATCCAATCACAATGCTCCCCATAGGATTAGCTGAAACTGACAAAGAGGCAGATCGGGGCAGAGCCAGCATGATTCAAACACAGCCCTGGCCAATCAGCATCTCCTCATAGAGATGAATTGAATCAATGAATCTCTATGAGGAAAGTTCAGTGTCTGCATGCAGAGGGAGGAGACACTGAATGTTTGGATGCATTTTAGGCAGCCATGACCCAGGAAAGATCTCTAAGAGCCATCTGAGGAGTGGCCAGTGAAGTTATCATTAGGCTGTAATGTAAACACTGCATTTTCCTCTGAAAAGACAGTGTTTACAGCAAAAAGCCTGCAGGTAATGATTTTACTCACCAGAACAAATTCAATAAGCTGTAGTTGTTCTGGTGACTATAGTGTCCCTTTAATACGGAGGGTAAAAACAGTGAGAGAGGACTGACTAAATTATAGCATTGAGAAAAAAAATTCTATTCATAAAATTACAGCCCTGAACACTAAATCATTACACTAATTTTACAACGCATCACTGTCTTTAGGATTATCACAGTATTTTGAAAGGAAACACCATTTCAGTGAAAAATAAGAAGAAAGGTTAAAACATTTAAATCTCTTTAGTGTGGAAAAACGGCGCCTCAGAGGGGACATGAGAACATTATACAAATATATTTGGGGCCAGTACAAACCCTGGAAATCTGTTCATAAACAGGGCAAACATAGGACACAAAGTCACACATTTAGGCTGGAAGAAAGGAGATTTAATCTAAGGCAAAGAAAAGGTTTGTTTTTTTACAGTAAGAACTATAAGGGTGTGGAATAATCTGCCTGCAGAGGTGTTTTTTACAGAGTCCATACAGATGTTTAAACTGAAATTGGATAAATACTTGCAAAAACATAACATACAGGGATATAATTTCTAATTAGTGGGGTAATAGCTACTTGATCCAAGGAGATATCTGACTGCCATTTTGGGGTCCACAACACATTTCTTCCTAGTTTGTTGCAAAATTGGAAGTGCTTCAGTCTGGGTTTTTTTTTTGCCTTCTCTTGGATCAACAGCAAAAACATGTGTGAGGAAGTCTCTTTTCCGCTATGTAACTATGTAACTACATAGCAAGTCCTCCACTGACTTCTATGAGAAACTTGCTATTTTGTAAGCAGAGTAAACCAGTTACATAGTTACATAGTTACATAGCTGAAAAGAGACTTGCCTCCATCAAGTTCAGCCTACCTCACATTTGTTTTTTGCTGTTGATCCAAAAGAAGGCAAAAAAAACCAGTTTGAAGCACAATTTTGCAACAAGCTAGGAAAAAAATCCTTCTTGACCCCAGAATGGCAGTCAGATTTATCCTTGGATCAAGCAGTTATTACCCTACATTGAAAGATTATATCCTTGAATATTCTGTTTTTGCAAGTATGTATCTAGTAGCCGTTTGAACATCTGTATGGACTCTAATAAAACCACTTCTTCAGGCAGAGAATTCCACATCCTGATTGTTCTTACAGTAAAAAAACCTTTCCTTTGCCTTTGCCTGTTAAGAGAATCCAGCTTTATATTTTAGCTTTTCCTTCTTTAACATATAGTGTGCCCTAGCTGTGTCTGTACTGAACCAGCCTACAATGTCAATCACTAAATATTTATCATACAATTTAAAGAAAACAGAGCAGAACATTAAAAAAGTTGAACACAAGTTACAGCTGTTATTTTAAGGTTTTCTTCATTTGTGTCATTTTCACAGAAGTGACTGTTTTCCTCTAAAACGAATCGCATACTTTTTTATGCTCAGAGGCAGCTCTCTAATTAGTTATCGAGTTAGGCGGCCACTTAAGGCCTTGTGCTTACTGGGACCTCACTGTCGCCTAATGTGCTTTAGGATACAATGATTCATCAGGCCCCATCACGACTGCCGTGCTATAAAACCATACCCTGCAATAGTGAATAAACGATTTGCATAATTATTTTGGTTTGTAAATGATGCTATAGCTACAGTCAGAGAGCTCACAACAAAGCGGCACAGGGAGCCACGTTACTGCAAGCCTCTGAACAATGAATACAGAGACTAACTCTCTGTATCCCACACTTCAAGCCCTCAATTCAATATAACTACAGGCCATTATACAGACACAATGCAACCTCTATTTACTTTTCACTATGGGTTAGTGAGTGTCTCATGTTTGAGTTTTGCCTAAGGTCTCACAAAGTTTAGAGACACCATTGCGTTTACTGTTCTTGTGCCTTAAATGAAAAATGTATAAACATTAAAACGGAAAAAAAAAATGCATATAACCCTGTAGAAACATATTTGCAATTGCCTCACAGGAACATTTAAAAGTTCCTCTGGTGTTACATGAATATGACACACCTTTTGTGCTCAGGGAATGTGTCAGACTAACCCTTTGTACTAAATCTGTTTGATGAATCCCTCTATACTTCACAGATATATATTACGCACAATCCATAAAATCTATGTATAAACAGTTGGGCATGACTTCTTTAGTTTCACAAG